TAAATCACCCTTTCGACTTACCCTTTCGATCCAATGGTATTTTCTCTTGTTCCCAACCGTCACCCTTCAAACTCACAAAGGCCCTGTCGTTGGCCATTCTCGCGTTATTAGTAGCAACATGCACGCTGATATCAGTGAGCCTTCGTTCTTCCCCAACACCAATTCTAACAGGCTTAGTCGGCTCCTTAGACCGCCCCTCATGATCATGTGTTTCCCACGTCACCAACAGCTGTGAGCCACTCAGGTTCCTAATGCTGTATGGGGCGTACTGCAGTTTATCTCCACTCTCACTGCGGCCCCCAAGCGGCCTCTCGTCATTCCAAACCCGACCAAATTCCCTCATGTTCTGTTCAAAAGCCTTCAGAAACGCCTGACTGATGTTCAGCATCAACAGCTGATGAGTAGCCTCCACAGAGAAGTCCTTCTTATCGCTCGGCCGGCCCCCCTGGACCACTCCAATGTCCTTCTGTTTTATCAGAACTTTATACATGCTCAAACTCTCATCAATGGTACCGTTGCTCTGTGGATCAACCGCCTCACTTTCAAGTAGAGGCTCCCAAGCTACCGCCACAGGGTTGAAGAATTGCATCGCAACTTCAACATTAGCAGCAATAGATGCTCTCCTCGTCACCATCACTCCCGTCCCTTCTTGTGACCTCCGCTGAGTCGACTCTTCACCACCAGCAGTTTCCCGAGGCGACTCCTCATCAGAATCAATAGCGTCCAGACTGATGCTATCATCAGTAGTGCTGTTGTTATGCGTGATTTGACAGTTACTGAACAGAATGTTCACAAAGGGCGTGTTGGTGGTCTTGCCAGAGTCGTTCACAAGGGTAACATTGAGCCGATGGAAAATACAGTCGTAGTCCGACTTGTACACCGTACACACCTTCTCGACCTCAGAAGCCGCGATACTCGAGGGAGTAGTCTCTGAGATCTCCTCCTCACTCTTGCTCTCTTGCTTTTCCTCAACGCCCTCACCATCAGTCAACGCCAACAACGGTCCTGCCTCCTTGTCCACCTCCTCCATAGTAGAGGAGGAGTCCTTCATGAGGAGCTGATAGCACTTCAAGCCTAGTCTTATGTCGTGGTAACTCACGTTGAGGCGGATCGGTTCGAAATTGAGGTGGACGGACCTACTCTCTGTCACCATTTTCTTCTTCTTATCACCACCACCAGACTCAGCCGTCTCAGTGAGGATACTCAAGAAAGCATCACAGTCACTCAGGATGGCTCTAGCTCCACCGTCACCAACAG